CCGTCTCGCCTAAGCCTACACGGCTTAGGCCTCCGCCCGCGTACGTCCACTCGCTGCTGCCCGCGAGCCCCGCACCATTATCGGCTTCTCCGCACGCGTGCGCTGCCGTCTTTCTTAGGCCCCCAAGGCCTAGGCCTTCGTCCGCGTGTGCTCCCTTCGCGCACCCCGTGTTTCCCGTCACTTTGCCACCAAACGCCAACGCGTCCCAGTCAACCTCCGTGGCTTGATCACCTACTCCGCGCCCCATTGCGCCCGTCGCATCCCGTGCTCGATCACTCGACCATTCGCGCGCATCAAGGTACGATGCGCGCCATACGCCCGATAGCCGATCTTCCTCGACCCCTTTGTCGCTCGCCCCCGTTGGCTCGCCCGATGGCCATTGGTCCCATCCATCCAACCCAATGCAATCACCAGCTCTCCAAATCCAACCATCCTCCATTCTACTCTTACCTTGCCTTCGAGCCTCCATCTTGCGGACTCGCCTTTTCCTCGAACAAGGCTTACACCAACACTTCTCTTCTTTAGCCTTTGCCTTGCCTTTCCTTCGAGTTCTCTTGGTCTTGCGTATCCTAGGCTTAAGTTTAGCTCGTGGACCACATCCTTTTGGCCAATCCCTCACATATGATGGCCGGTAAATAGGACTAGATGGCTCCTCCAACATATTTTCTAGCCAAATATCGAGACCATCGCCACCTTCATCCTCCGACTCGCGTGGGTTGATGACCACTTCCGTACCATTCCCCTCCTCTTCGAGACTTTCCTTGTCCTCAAGGATCAGAAAATTTAGCTCCCCTTCATCTTCATAGTCATGAGCATCGATTACTATCGCTTCTCGGGCTTCTATGAGTTGACGCTCGTACTCTTCAATATTCCTTCGCTCATGAAGCTCATCAAGATATGTTGCTTGCCACGGTGTAAGCTCTCTTTTCAAACCTTCCAACATCTCAAGATCTTCCCAATCTAACTCATCTAATGGTGGGTAAGACTTTTTTTTTTGACTCTAAATAAAATTTCGAAAATAATAGGGGAAAAATTCGAAAAATCGAACCCCAACAAAGACTAAAAAAATCGAACCAAAAAAGAAATTCGGCCCCTAAACAAAAGGTAACAACCGAAAAAAAATCAACAAAGGACTAACAAGATGACACTTTTTTTTTTAAGACACGAAAAATTGAAAAATTCGAATAAGAATTTCGAAAATTTCGACCCAAAAAAGAAAAGAAATTCGGCCCCTCAGCAAAAGGCAAACCAAAAAAAGGAAAAAGATAGATAGATAAAAAACATGATCAGCACATCTCAATGAAAGCACCAATGATGACGGATCGTGTCTTTACTCTATTTCCGGTTGTGAACAAACGGCGCACTCAGGGCCTTCGTTTATCCACGATAGGTGTATCTAACAGACGCACTACGGTCTTCTCCTAGATACCGTGACTTCAAGACGCTCTAATGGCCTTCTCTCCGACACTGTATGTAAACACGCACTAATCGCCTTGTTTAAACACATGTTAAGAACATCAGTTCCCCCTCAAGATTGGCTCACCAATTCAATACTTCATTCAAGACTTAAAATAATGATGAGGTACATGGGGTATTTATAGTTGCAAAATAAATCTAAGCCTAACTATACTAGATCTCCTAAATCTTGCAAGAATAGAAATCCTAACACTAGAAAGCAATAAAATCCTAAACCTACCAAATAACTATTGCTTGGCTTGCACATCAAGCAAATATAGAATGTCCCTAAGTCTCCAAATCTCGACCGCCTTCCATACGCGTCGCGCGCGTCCGCCAGCTTGCGCGCGCCGCCTCACCCTTCCTACTCCTCTTGGCGCGCGGTAACCCGCGCGCTTGACTCCCACGCAGCATCCTTCGCGCGCGCGCCCCATCCGCCGACTCCAGCTCATGCGTGCGTGCCCAGCGCCCCTGCGTCGCCTAATCATACCGCACTTAGTACTCCCACGCCTGCGCTACACTCCCGCGCTATCGCGCGCTCCTCATTGCCGCTGCCATTCTCTTGCGCGTGTGTGCCGTCGCCCTGTACTCCCTTGCCTACGCGGTCGCGGTCTGCTCCTGCCAGCGCATCGCCCGTCTCGCCTAAGCCTACACGGCTTAGGCCTCCGCCCACGTACGTCCACTCGCTGCTGCCCGCGAGCCCCGCACCATTATCGGCTTCTCTGCACGCGTGCGCTGCCGTCTTTCTTAGGCCCCCAAGGCCTAGGCCTTCGTCCGCGTGTGCTCCCTTCGCGCACCCCGTCTTTCCCGTCACTTTGCCACCAAACGCCAACGCGTCCCAGTCAACCTCCGTGGCTTGATCACCTACTCCGCGCCCCATTGCGCCCGTCGCATCCCGTGCTCGATCACTCGACCATTCGCGCGCATCAAGGTACGATGCGCGCCATACGCCCGATAGCCGATCTTCCTCGACCCCTTTGTCGCTCGTCCCCGTTGGCTCGCCCGATGGCCATGGGTCCCATCCATCCAACCCAATGCAATCACCAGCTCTCCAAATCCAACCATCCTCTATTCTACTCTTACCTTGCCTTCGAGCCTCCATCTTGCGGACTCGCCTTTTCCTCGAACAAGGCTTATACCAACACTTCTCTTCTTTAGCCTTTGCCTTGCCTTTCCTTCGAGTTCTATTGGTCTTGCGTCTCTTAGGCTTAAGTTTAGCTCGTGGACCACATCCTTTTGGCCAATCCCTCACACATGATGGCCGGTAAATAGGACTAGATGGCTCCTCCAACATATTTTCTAGCCAAATATCGGGACCATCGCCACCTTCATCCTCCGACTCGCCTGGGTTGATGACCACTTATGTGTATCATGCTGTGCGTGCGTGATACGAAAGTGGTTGTCGAGGCTGAAGAGTGGTCGGGGATGATCGAGGGTCGAATGGGCGAAAGGCGCGCATCGGACGGTGATGCGTGAGAGCGGGTGGTCAGCACACGGTCAGCATTGGGTGCACGCGTGTGCACGGTAGGCGAGCAGGCCGCGGGCGTTGGGAGGTACGCGCGGGTAGCGAGCGACGGGCGAGCTGGGCGTGCGGGTGAAGGCCACGCGGTCAGCAACCAAAACCTCGCAGGCGTAGGAGTACGGGGCAGCGGGACGTACGAGAAAGGCGTGCAAGAGACCTAAGCCGCCGAGGACTACGAGTACATGGGCGGCATGCGCAACGCGTGCGACACATAAAGAATGAGGCGGCGAAGTACTTGGGCATGATTTGGATTGTTTGGAGTGCAAGCCAAGCAAGATCAAGATCTAGTCAATTTAGGACTTTGATATATTTAGTTTCCTTCTTGAACAATAGTATCTAGAATGTTTAGGAATTTAATATTTTATTGCTTTAATATGTTTCCTAGGTAGATTAGAATTAGTCATAGTTAGGATCTATAAATAGGGAGCATGCCTCATTGTTTTGAAAGGTCCAGAATGGATGAAATAGAAAAGGAACGTTTGTTCAAACCGTGTATTAGGGTTCGTGAGAATTCGATCATACAACCGAATTGGTGAGGCTAAGACCCAAGCCAGTTCAACGATTTAGAGGGGCTAAGACCCGATCTATTTCGAGAGTGTAGCGAGGCTAATACCCGAGTGAACTCAAGTATCGTGAGAGAGTTAGGCTAATAACCGAGTCGATCACACCTATCGTCGAGATCAAGGCCGTGGCGAAGCCGTGATCGAGACAAGTCGAGGGAACGCAACATCCGATCCGACATCATTGGTGCTTTCATTGAGAGTGATCGATTGGGTGTTCGTGAACTTTTTCTATCCCATTCTTTTCCTTTTTGTTCGATTTTTTGGTTTCTTTGTGTTCGAATTTTTTTCGAATTTTATCCCTAAATTTCGAAAAATTTCGTGAGTCTTAAAAAAAAAGTGTCATCTAGTCCTTTGTTTGATTTTTTTTTTCGGTTATTACCTTTTGTTGAGGGGCCGAATTTCTCTTCTTTTTGGGTCGAAATTTTCGAAATTCTTGTTCGAATTTTTCATTTATTTTTCGACTTTTTATAGAGTCTTAAAAAAAAAGTCATGACGAATCGTGAGAGATTCGATGCACTTGAGGAAAGCGTGAGGTCCCTTGGCAATGGACAACACGTGGTCAATGAAAACATGGCAAAGTTGGAGCTGATGATACACGACTTGGCGGGACAGCTCGAGAGAATCAACCACCATACACAGAGGAGCCGCACATCGAGATCAACCATGGTGGGAACGGGCAGTTCGACGTCTAATCGCGATGACGACGACGAACGGTCGCGGGGAACGCGCGCGACGCGCACTACCGACACCACGGCGATCGCAGAACGCATGGCCATCGGCATCATCGCGAAGATCACGTACGTGCGAAACCGAAGATAACGATGCCAACGTTCGAAGGAGTAGATCCAGATGCATGGTTAAGTCGTGCCGTGCAATTTTTCGAGATCAACGAGGTACACAAATATGAAAGATTTCAAATTGCTGCCTACTACTTGGATGGGGAGGCCAATACATGGTGGCAATGGGTGTCACATGTTTATAAAAATAAAGGCGAGCAAATCAAATGGCGAGATTTTGAGAAGGAGCTGATTGCCAGGTTTGGATCTAGCGAATACTTTGATTATGATGAGGCGCTGACAAGGATCCGCCAAACCGGTAGTCTACGTGACTATCAAAAGGAGTTTGAGAGGATAGCAAGCCGAGTTCGGGATTGGCCCGAGAAAGCACTGGTAGGTGCGTTCGTAGGAGGCTTAAAGGCTGAGTTGGCTGCGGAGGTACGATTGGACAGGCCAAGGTCAACTAGGGCTGCCATGGAAGCAGCGCGACTGCACGAGGATCATCTCGCGGCAGTGCGCAGGGCCAGACCAAGCGAGGGGCGCACGGACGTTCGGCGCGCGAGCGTCGCGGTCGACGATACGCCCCCACGGGCCGAGGTCAAGCCAACAGTCGGCGACGGTACACGCACCACTAGCAACTACCGACGGCTGACGGAGGATGAAATACAAAGGCGAAGAGAAAAAGGCTTGTGCTTTACTTGCAACGAGAAATTTGCGCCAGGCCACAAGTGCAAGGGTATGGAAATTTTTGTGTTGGAAATTGAGAGGGAACGAGAGGAAGAAAAGCCACAGGAAGAGTATTGGTTGCATATGGTGAAGTGCAACAAGCGTGGTCCTAGGATGATCAGATTCACGGCCGAGATAAAGGATATGTTGTTGGATGTCCTGGTGGACAGTGGGTCGAGTTTAAATTTTATCGACGAAAGGATAGCCCAAAAGCTGAAGTTAGTACCCACAAAAGTCAAGAAGTTTGGTGTCAAGGTGGCCAATGGACATGAGCTGCAAGTAAGTCAATTATTCAAGAAGGTCCCGATAATGGCACAGGATCACGAGCTGGAGATTGATCTTTATGCCTTACCACTTAAGGCAACAGATATTGTGCTAGGAGTACAATGGCTGAAAACGCTTGGACCCATTACGACTAACTATAAGCGAGGAAAGATGGAGTTTGGACGACCAGGAAAGCGCATTAAGTTAAGAACTGAGGATCAAGGTGAATTCCCCGTTGAAGAAGAAGATAGTGATGTGGATGTGCTGAACTTTCTCATCCTTGGGGACAAGGAACGTGTTGAAGAGTAGGAGAATAATACGGAAGTGGTTGTCGAGGCCGAAGAGTGGTCGGGGGTGATCGAGGGTCGAATGGGCGGAAGGCGCGCATCGGGCGGTGATGCGCGAGAGAGGGTGGTCAGCACGCGGTCAGCATTGGGTGCACGCGGGTGCACGGTAGGCGAGCAGGCCGCGGGCGTTGGGAGGTACGCGCGGGTAGCGAGCGACGGGCGAGCTGGGCGCGCGGGTGAAGGCCACGCGGGCAGCAACCAAAACCTCGCAGGCTTAGGAGTACGGGGCAGCGGGACGTACGAGAAAGGCGCGCAAGAGACCTAAGCCGCCGAGGACTACGAGTACATGGGCGGCGTGCGCAACGCGTGGGATGCATAAAGAATGAGGCGGCGAAGTACTTGGGCAT